AACCATGAGAGACGATGGACTCTGAAAAACAAACTGAGGGTTCTAGAGGGGAGGGGGGTGGGAGGTTGGGTTAGCCTGGTGATGGGTATTGAGGAGGGCACGTTCTGCATGGAGCACTGGGTGTTATGCACAAACAATGAATCATGGAACACTACATTTAAATCTAATAATGTAATATATGGGGATTAACATAACAATAAAAAAATTTTAAAGAAAAGAACTGTGTTTATTGACAAAATTCAGGTTTTGAACTCAGCAGTAATAAACACTATCTTTTCAGGAGAAAGATAAATATTGGTTGAGAATGAGTTACAAAGTCTCATCTTCCTAATAAAATGACCAGAACTTGGTATTAACACTGATAAACACAAAGGAATGTTAATAGTTTGCCAATAATATGATTTCCCTAACACACATTCCTTCTCACCCCTTGACATCCTTAAATCCCAAGTATCATAACCTGGCACATGTTTCATAAACAGCAAAGAGAAAGTAAAATAATGGGTAGGTAGATAACTCAGCCATAATTATACTACCACTGATAGGACTCAATAATACTACCTCAGACAGGACAATTTTGCATTACATGTATTATTTTCCATAACAGCCCTGGTAGAGAGTGGAACATGTTGTACCCAGAGCTCCCGGCTCTTAGCTCAGATTTTAAGAACAAATCAGAAAATGACCAGTGTTGCAGTCAATGTGATAGTCATCTGAACATTCTTCCCAGATTTTGAACAGTTGTGCCTTCAATGAAGATGCTATTGTTTAAACACTCTTGTTTTTCCAGGGTCAAAAAAATTTACAACTATCTGGTTGCCTAATCGGATCTCACTTGCTCTGCCAGTCACTACCAGCTCCTTCTCAGGAAAGTGGGAGTTCCTCTGCACTGAGATGACCAGCAATAGCAGTGCTAACCTCTACATAACTCTAGTAACTGTAGTAGTTCACTCCTGCTTTGTGTGGCCCAGTCAGATCCTATGAATTAGTCCTCACAAGTGACCAGATATTGCTCTTCTGCTCAACTTAAGTGGTCTGCATCTTTTCAAAACTAGTGGCACATAGCCAAGGATGAATTTCTTAAAGTTCAAGGTGCAAACTCTAGCACTAAAGGTTTTCTGGAGAGAAACAACCGTGCCTTCTTCCACTGCTGGGTGTGAACATGAAGCAGGAGAGAAAGCAAGGAGCGGCACAAAAGAGGAAACAAAATCAAGCTTCTCAGAAGCTGAGAAAGGGTCTGGCCAATTCTAAATTCTTAGACCTTCAAAAAAATGAAAAACTAAATGCCAAAACTCGGTTACTAAATTACAGTATATTTTAGATTTTTAAAGTTAATAAATAAAATTGCAAAGTGAACAGCGTTCTGCTCTAGCAGTGTATAACTCATTCGGAAATTAACAGTCCAATCTAACACTGAATCTTAGTGACTATGAAACCCAAGCCAAAATAGCACTACTATCCACAACCCACTCCCAGGCCTCAAAAAAACGGCAGTAAAAGTTTAGAAAAATGGACTAAAGAGAATAGAAAGAGTAGAGCAGCAAGAAAGCCAGTAAGGAGATCACTACCTTGGAGCTCTGATAACTGAGTGCCAGAAGAAAAGGTGCAGAAACGAATAGAAAAGAAAAACAACAAAAGAAGCAGCGAAGACTTGGACTACCACTTACAGTGGTCTCAGGTGCACTTAGAAGGATGTCCAATAACAGTCGTCAAACCCTCCTAGAATAACTTCAATGGCAAGGAACCTAATTCATAGGTAAGTGCTTGAAAGTGGGTACTGGGATCCTATTGTGCTAAGTTGATTTCTTCCTTATTTACTAAGTATTATACGGTGTTAACCATCTTACCATACAGGGCAACAGGCCACCGTTCCAGCTCTCCAAGAACTTCAAGATACTGGGGAAGCCGCTAAGGAGGTCACAACTTAGGGACTCCGATAACTGGGTGCTAAGATGTAAGCGTCACCTAAACGGAATCCGAAGAGGGAGCAGGAATTAGCCTTCTGTAGAAAAACACCTAGAGTCCCACCCCCCCCCCAAGTTGAGGACATGCCCGATGGGGTAGGAGGTGGGTAGGTGAGTCAGGAGGCTGTCGGCCAAGCCTTTTTCTATTCGATATACATCCTTCAACCCTGACTCCAATGATAATTTTCGCAGTAAACTCCATCTCTGTAAGAATGTGTGATCTCCCGAGTTGTTCTGCAACAACTTTCCACCATTTTAGTAAAAGACCCCTAACACCAGCGTTGAAACGTGGCTTCATCTGTAACAATATTTTCTAAGTCCGTCTACAGATTGGGAACTGCGAACGGAAGCGGCTAGAAGAAAGCTGCGGCCGGGGACAGTGAGTGCGGGACTAGCTCCGAGCGAGGGCTATGCGCGCGAACCGTGCTGCGCAGGTGCGGGGGTGGGCGCGCACATGCGCGGGAGGAGACGGAGCGCCGCGGGGCTGGACATCGGGGAAGGGGGCGCGGCGCACGCAGCATGGCGTCCAACATCTACTGGGTTCGCCAGCGGATCAGCAGGCTCGGCCAGGTGCGGCCCGGGGAGGTGCCTCCCCTTCCCAGCCCAGCCCACCCCTCGC